GGCGGAGAAGTTGTTGAGGAAGCGGGATACGGGTCCTGGAGGCAGATAGATTACTGCAATCCTCAGAGGGGTAGGAGAGAATAGCCAGTTGCAGTGGGCCTCAAAGGAGGAGAAGGATAGAGAGGGGGGGGGGTTACATATATATATATATATATATATATACATATACAGTATATATCTAGTGGATAGCCATGAGTTAAGCTGTTTAATGGTAATGAACTTGATAGGTTGAACAGAGGGTGCCCTCAGAACCTAGGTGAAATTTCATGCAAGATATTTTCGACAGAAAGGTCACAAGAAAAAGAACCTTGGCAGCAAAGCTGACTTTCCTGTGGCAAATGAATTGATCTGGGAAAGACCCCTAAGAAACCACTAAATGCTGGAAGACTCCTTGGTTTTAGTCACCCCTTCACCTGATCCTAAACCTCCTGGCATGGGAATTCAGTACAGAAGTTCTCCTTTTTTTGAGGTGCATTTTGAGGCCTACCTAAATTGCTTTCAAATTCCTTGGAAGATGTGACTGCTAGCTACTGATGCCAGACTTCTTTTGGTCTGAATCCAAAAAGCTATCTCCGAAAAAATTGGAAGCATATGGAGAAAGAATTGATTTTTCCCAGTTAATCATCCAACTCAGAGAAGTTTGGAGTTTACCTGGGTGGTCTGAGCTTCCAGGCATGGTTGGGATACAATCATTATCCTTGGTAAAGGGATACTAGAACTTCTTTCATCCTCAAATAAACCTGAAAACGAGCATTTGACAAAATTCCAAAAGGGGAAATGTGGTGCCGTGTGGTTAGGCACATGAAAATATCCATCCTTCAGGTCAACGGAAGCCATCTGAAATCCCTTCTGTAGAAGATCGATAGCCAAATGTACTGTCTGTATACCTTTGAAAATTTGAGAGCCAAGGATAATATCCACTGTTTAGCCAAAGAGGTATTTGCCCTGAAAAGATATTTGGCTTTGCAGGGCAGGGCTGCTGCCTTAAAAACTCAATATATAAAGAGGACCTGTGGTCGAGGGCAAATTACTTGACGCGTTTCACAGCTAAACCTGCAAAATACATTCAAATTTTACCGCCAACCATCTGCAAGTAATGTGACATCTCTTCTTCTGTGAATGTGGTCCCGCCATGGTTGGGAAAGGGTAGTTAATCCTGTTTAGGGCATTCAGGACATGTGAATAATGTATTTTTGTCATTTATCAACTGTTACTGTAGCTGTAAAACATCCTGTAGAATATGTATTTCTCTATGAACCATTACCCTCGGTATCAATTCCTAAAGCCAGCCCTCTTTCCTCCTCTGTACCATTTCCTCCACTCCAATAGACCTTAGTTTGTAAATTAGGAATTTTTGGGGTTAAGTGTCACATGCTTTTGGAAAAAACAAGATAAAATGTGATCACTGCCCTTCCTTTATCAGCACTGCTGCTCACTTCCTCATAAAATGTTAACAGGTCGGTCTGGCAAGAACAGTTTTTCATCAATCCATGTTCTTAGCTATTTAATAGTGTTGGGCTTTATGTCTGACAGTAAGGGCGTTCGGGGTGCTGTTCACCCCCCCCCCTGCGCGCCTGACAGTGCATTGTGATTGGCCAAAGCAAGGTCTGGTGCATTGCTTTGGCCAATCACAGCGCATCATGACGTCACAAAGGGCGACCCCACCCCTTTGTGACGTCTTTACAGTATTTATGGACTGTCCCTGCGCAGTTGTTAGACAGCGGGAGTCAGCGTTGAGAGCGGAGTGTTTTTTTTTCTTTTTTCGGGTTGGCGGTGGCAGCGGGCATCGTGATTGACATTGGATCTACTCCGGGGGACATTTTTTACATTTTTGTTTCTAATAAATGACTTGTCAAAGACTGTCTCACCATGTCCATGGATTCCAGACTTCAGGCAAAGCATCAGACAGGAGGAAACCCAGTCTTTGGTCATGTCCATGGGTTCCAGACTTCAGGCAAAGCATCAGACAGGAGGAAACCCAGTCTTTGGTCATGTCCTTGGGTTCCAGACTTCAGGCAAAGCATCAGACAGGAGGAAACCCAGTCTTTGGTCATGTCCATGGGTTCCAGACTTCAGGCAAAGTATCCGACAGGAGGAAACCCAGTCTTTGGTCATATCCATGGGATCTAGACTTCTGTGGCGCTTCACAGTATAGATAGACAATGATCCAAAACACACTGCAAAAGCAACCCAGGAGCTTTTGAAGGAAAAGAAGTGGAATATTCTGCAATGGCCGAGTCAATCACCTGATCTCCACCCCACTGAGCATGCATTCCATTTGCTGAAGGCAAAACTAAAGGCAGAAAGACCCTCAAACAAAGAACAACTGAAGACAGCTGCAGTTAGAGCCTGGCAAAGCATCAGAAAGGAGGAACCCCAGTCTTTGGTAATGTCCATGGGTTCTAGACTTCAGGCAAAGCATCAGACAGGAGGAAACCCAGTCTTTGGTCATGTCCATGGGTTCCAGACTTCAGGCAAAGCATCAGACAGGAGGAAACCCAGTCTTTGGTCATGTCCATGGGTTCCAGACTTCAGGCAAAGCATCAGACAGGAGGAAACCCAGTCTTTGGTCATGTCCATGGGTTCCAGACTTCAGGCAAAGCATCAGACAGGAGGAAACCCAGTCTTTGGTCACGTCCATGGGTTCCAGACTTCAGGCAAAGCATCAGACAGGAGGAAACCCAGTCTTTGGTCATGTCCATGGGTTCCAGACTTCAGGCAAAGTATCCGACAGGAGGAAACCCAGTCTTTGGTCATGTCCATGGGTTCCAGACTTCAGGCAAAGTATCCGACAGGAGGAAACCCAGTCTTTGGTCATGCCCATGGGTTCCAGACTTCAGGCAAAGTATCCGACAGGAGGAAACCCAGTCTTTGGTCATATCCATGGGATCTAGACTTCTGTGGCGCTTCACAGTATAGATAGACAATGATCCAAAACACACTGCAAAAGCAACCCAGGAGCTTTTGAAGGAAAAGAAGTGGAATATTCTGCAATGGCCGAGTCAATCACCTGATCTCCACCCCACTGAGCATGCATTCCATTTGCTGAAGGCAAAACTAAAGGCAGAAAGACCCTCAAACAAAGAACAACTGAAGACAGCTGCAGTTAGAGCCTGGCAAAGCATCAGAAAGGAGGAACCCCAGTCTTTGGTAATGTCCATGGGTTCTAGACTTCAGGCAAAGCATCAGACAGGAGGAAACCCAGTCTTTGGTCATGTCCATGGGTTCCAGACTTCAGGCAAAGCATCAGACAGGAGGAAACCCAGTCTTTTGGTCATGTCCATGGGTTCCAGACTTCAGGCAAAGCATCAGACAGGAGGAAACCCAGTCTTTGGTCATGTCCATGGGTTCCAGACTTCAGGCAAAGTATCCGACAGGAGGAAACCCAGTCTTTGGTCATGTCCATGGGTTCCAGACTTCAGGCAAAGTATCCGACAGGAGGAAACCCAGTCTTTGGTCATGTCCATGGGTTCCAGACTTCAGGCAAAGTATCCGACAGGAGGAAACCCAGTCTTTGGTCATATCCATGGGGTCTAGACTTCTGTGGCGCTTCACAGTATAGATAGACAATGATCCAAAACACACTTCAAAAGCAACCCAGGAGCTTTTGAAGGAAAATAAGTGGAATATTCTGCAATGGCCGAGTCAATCACCTGATCTCAGCCCAAATGAGCATGCATTCCATTTGCTGAAGGCAAAACTAAAGGCAGAAAGACCCACAAACAAAGAACAACTGAAGACAGCTGCAGTTAGAGCCTAGCAAAGCATCAGAAGGGAGGAAACCCAGTCTTTGGTAATGTCCATGGGTTCCAGACTTCAGGCAAAGCATCAGAAAGTAGGAAACCCAGTCTTTGGTAATGTCCATGGGTTCTAGACTTCAGGCAAAGCATCAGAAAGGAGGAAACCCAGTCTTTGGTCATGCCCATGGGTTCCAGACTTCAGGCAAAGCATCAGAAAGGAGGAAACCTAGTCTTTGGTCATGTCCATGGGTTCCAGATTCCAGGCAAAGCATCAGAAAGGAGGAAACCTAGTCTTTGGTCATGTCCATGGGTTCCAGATTTCGGGCAAAGCATCAAGAAGGAGGAAACCTAGTCTTTGGTAATGTCCATGGGTTCCAGACTTCGGGCAAAGCATCAGAAAGGAGGAAACCCAGGCTTTGTTAATGTCCATGGGTTCCAGACTTCAGGCAAAGCATCATAAAGGAGGAAACCCAGTCTTTGGTAATGTCCATGGGTTCCAGACTTCAGGTAAAGCATCAGAAAGAAGGAAAAACCAGTCTTTGGTCATGTCCATGGGTTCTAGACTTCAGGCAAAGCATCAGAAAGGAGGAAACCTATTCTTTGGCCATGTCCATGGGTTCTAGACTTCAGGCAAAGCATCAGAAAGGAGGAAACCTATTCTTTGGCCATGTCCATGGGCTCCAGACTTCAGGCAAAGCATCAGAAAGGAGGAAACCCAGTCTTTGGTCATGTCCATGGGCTCCAGACTTCAGGCAAAGCATCAGAAAGGAGGAAAACCCAGTCTTTGGCCATGTCCTTGGGTTCCAGACTTCAGGCAGTCATTGCCAATAAAGGATTCTCAACAAAATATTACAAATGAGCATTTTATTTATGATTATATTCAATTGTCCAATTACTTTTGGTCCCTTGAAAAGGGGGGGGGGTACTCTTAAGAGCTGTAATTCCTAAACCCTTTCTCCAATGTGGATGTACATACCCTCTAATTACACCTGAGAGTGCGCACTGTCCGCCCAGATCCATCATAGAACTAGAGCTGGAATATGTTTTGGTCAATACCTGAATAAAACAAAAAAAATTGTGCCTGTGTCCGGATAAATATGGACCGAACTGTATATTAGAAGACTGTTACATGACTGTTCTCAAATCCAGATGCTGGTGAATTTTTTTAGAAAGTTGAAATTTTCCCTGTGAATCGTGATGTTTGTTACATATTGGGTGAATATTTCATCGATATTGGCTTTATTGTAAATGAAAACTCACTGTAATTCCTCTATCCGGCTTGTGGTTAGAGCCACCATCAGATCCCTGAAATGAGGACCCTCCAGATGGTTCCCAGACAGGTCCAGTGTCCTCAGGGTCTGGTTACTTCTTATTCCCGATGCCAGGTGGATGGAGGAACTGTCTGTCAGGTTATTACCATACAAACTATAGAATAAAAGAACGAAAAAAGAAGATGATTATAATAAAATATTCCACAATATTGTACCTGCCTTACATCTTATTTCAGAATCGTGAATAGAATAGAATAGGAAAAAGAATAGAAAAGATTATAATAGAATAGAAAATATTCTATTTTATTCTAATCTTTTCTAATCTATTACTTTATTTTCTATTATATTTTATTCTATTCTGTTCCTTTATATTCCATTCTATTCTATTCCTTTATTTTCTATTGTGATGTGGAAATTCAGATACATCCGAATCTCCAAACAGCAAAAATTTTGTCTCAATTTTGTTATTTAACAAAATTAATTATACGTGTCTACTTGTCTCGTGATCAGTGCCGGCTTCAGTGTAGAGGAGGGACAGCTGACAACAGATGCCCCATAGTAAGTCTGTGGGTGACGTCATTGCATAGCCGTGGTCACTGCTGTCTCCTGTCCACTGAAGGCGGTGCTGGAGAGATCATGTGACCAGAGCGACTTCAGAATAGGTAAGTATAGGCATCTCTCCTTTTACAGGGTAGATAGAAGAGGCTTAGAATGGGGGTGGGAGTAGGTTTAGGCTACCGTATTTTTCGCTCCATAAGACGCACCTAGGTTTTAGAGGCGGAAAACAGGAAAAAAAAATTCTGAACTAATGGACTGCAGACACAGTACAGGAGATGACCAGAGACTGCGGACACAGTACAGGAGATGACCAGAGACTGCGGACACAGTACAGGAGATGACCAGAGACTGCGGACACAGTACAGGAGATGACCAGAGACTGCAGGAGATGACCAGAGACTGCGGACATAGTACAGGAGATGACCAGAGACTGCGGACACAGTACAGGAGATGACCAGAGATGACCAGATGACCAGAGACTGCGACATAGACAGGAGATGACCAGTACAGGGATCAGATGACCAGAGACTGCGGACACAGTACAGGAGATGACCAGAGACTGCGCGGACACAGTACAGGAGATGACCAGAGACTGCGGACACAGTACAGGAGATGACCAGAGACTGCGGACAGTACAGGAGATGACCAGAGACTGCGGACATAGTAGGGATGACCAGAGACTGCGGACACAGTACAGGAGATGACCAGAGACTGCGGACACAGAGACTGCGGACATAGTACAGGAGATGACCAGAGACTGCGGACATAGTACAGGAGATGACCAGAGACTGCGGACCAGGAGATGATCTGAGACTGCGGACACAGTAGGGATGACCAGGACTGCGGACATGTACAGGAGATGACAGAGACTGCGGACACAGTACAGGAGATGACCAGAGACTGCGGACACAGTACAGGAGATGACCAGAGACTGCAGACATAGTACAGGAGATGACCAGAGACTGCGGACACAGTACAGGAGATGACCAGAGACTGCGGACACAGTACAGGAGATGACCAGAGACTGCAGACATAGTACAGGAGATGACCAGAGACTGCGGACACAGTACAGGGATGACCAGAGACTGCGGACAGCACAGGGATGACCAGAGACTGTGGATAGTACAGGGGATGACTGCTGACCTTTGGGGAGGGGGGGGGGGGTACCTGAATTTGACAGATACCCGCTCCCACTTCTGCGGAGTTGTTCTTTCATCTTACCTGTTCCTCTATCCAGCCGCGCGCTGTCTTCCCGGCTTCTGTAATGGCGCTCGGCATGACAGCCGGGTGCCCAGTGCGCATGAGCGAGAAGCACTTGCGCTTTGTGATTGGTCCGGCGGCTTCTGGGATCTGTCATGTGTCCCAGGTGCCGTCTTACCATTCACAAAAAGCACCGCTTCCTGCGCATGCGCACTTGGCACCCGGCTGTCATGCCCACACTACAGAAGCCGGGAAGACCGCGCCGCTGGATAGAGGAACGGGTAAGATGAAAGAACAACTCCACGGAAGTGGGAGCGGGTATCTGTCAAATTCAGGTACCCGCTCCCCCCCCTCCCCAAAGGTCAGCAGTCATCTCTATAAGGTCCCGCTGTAGAGCTGAGCGGCCGGCCCGGTATTCTGACACGGCGGCAGTGGAAATACCGGACCGGCCGCTCCATATTCGCTCCATAAGACGCACTGACATTTTCCCCCCTTTTTTTGGGGGAAAAAAGTGCGTCTTATGGTGTGAAAAATACGGTAATCGAAATATAAAAATAGATTCTAAAGGGGTTGGTGCAACCAAAGTGGCATTTCAATTCTAGGTTCAGATCAGTGGGTTGAGTCACCTCTTGGTTCATCCTGTTATAGTTCCCGGCTTTGTTTAGACCCACTTTGGAGTTTTGGGTATTCCTGTCAACCATGGGATGTTCTCACTATGGGTGCTCCTTTGTCTAAGTCAGGGGCCTCCAAACCTTCTAGGCAATGGGCCAGTTTACTGTCCTTCAGATGTTAGGGGAGCTGAACTGTGGCCAGTGGAACTAGAAAAAGCCCCAGCATCAGCAAGAGGAAACAATTCCTCAGGTTTGGTGGTCAGTGGGTAGTAAAACAATTACAAAGTGCATGCAGGTTGGTAGGAGAAGGGATAATGCCCCATCAATAGTATTGGTGGGAGGAACAGTGCCCAATTATTAGTATCATTAGAAGAAATAGTGCCCCATTGTTGGTGTCAGTAAGATGAATTGCTCCTCCATTGTTGGTGTCAGTAAGATGAATTGCTCCTCCATTGTTGGTGTCAGTAAGATGAATAGCTCCCCCATTGTTGGTGTCAGTAAGATGAATAGCTCCCCCATTGTTGGTGTCAGTAAGATGAATATCTCCCCCATTGTTGGTGTCAGTAAGAGGAATAGCTTCTCCATTGTTGGTGTCAGTAAGAGGAATAGCTCCTCCATTGTTGGTGTCAGTAAGATGAATAGCTCCTCCATTGTTGGTGTCAGTAAGAGGAATAGCTCCTCCATTGTTGGTGTCAGTAAGATGAATTGCTCCTCCATTGTTGGTGTCAGTAAGATGAATTGCTCCTCCATTGTTGGTGTCAGTAAGATGAATAGCTCCCCCATTGTTGGTGTCAGTAAGATGAATAGCTCCCCCATTGTTGGTGTCAGTGAGAGGAATAGCTCCCCATTGTTGGTGTCAGTAAGATGAATAGCTCCCCCATTGTTGGTGTCAGTAAGATGAATAGCTCCCCCATTGTTGGTGTCAGTAAGAGGAATAGCTCCTCCATTGTTGGTGTCAGTAAGAGGAATAGCTCCTCCATTGTTGGTGTCAGTAAGATGAATTGCTCCTCCATTGTTGGTGTCAGTAAGATGAATTGCTCCTCCATTGTTGGTGTCAGTAAGATGAATAGCTCCCCCATTGTTGGTGTCAGTAAGATGAATAGCTCCCCCATTGTTGGTGTCAATGAGAGGAATAGCTCCCCATTGTTGGTGTCAGTAAGATGAATAGCTCCTCCATTGTTGGTGTCAGTAAGATGAATAGTCTCCCATTGTTGGTTTAAGTGGAAGAAACAGTGCCCCATTGTTGGTGTCAGTAAGAGGAATAGCTCCTCCATTGTAGGTGTCAGTAAGATGAATAGTTTCCCATTGTTGGTTTAACTGGATGAAACAGTGCCCCATTGTTGGTGTCAGTAAGAGGAATAGCTCCTCCATTGTCGGTGTCAGTAAGATGAATAGCTCCTCCATTGTAGGTGTCAGTAAGATGAATAGTTTCCCATTGTTGGTTTAAGTGGAAGAAACAGTGCCCCATTGTTGGTGTCAGTAAGAGGAATAGCTCCTCCATTGTAGGTGTCAGTAAGATGAATAGTTTCCCATTGTTGGTTTAAGTGGACGAAAACAGTGCCCCATTGTTAGTGACAGTGGGAGGAATTATGCCTCACTACTGGTGCCAGTGGAAGGAATGGTGCCTCAACCTTGGTGACAGGGGGAGGAATAGTGCCTCATATCAGTGGGAGGAATAGTGGTCTAAGGGCCAGAAAATAAGCAAGCGAAGGGCCACATCCGGCCTGCGGGCTACAGTTTGGACACCCCTGGTCTAAGTTATAAGTCATTTTTAGAATCCTATGAAGAAAGCAGGCATGTAGACCTAGAAACTCTGTACTTTACAAATGTAGCACCCTCCTAGGGAAGGTAGGGGGAGCTAGTTTATAATTTTTTATCAGGAGGCTGAATAGCAGCCAGGAGAAATAGCCAGATGGGTCAAATTTGGGTCAGGACTGAGACACTCTGCAGATCATCTCTCTGAAACCTCCCCATGTTGTAGAGGTTTTGATAAATCTCTAGAACTCAGTGGGCAGGGGAGAGGAGTGGCTGGTCTGTATGTCTAAAGCAGGGTTCTCAACCTTCCTAATGCCGCGACCCTTTAATACAGTTCCTCATGTTGTGGTGACCCCCAACCATAAAATTATTTACCCAGTAATTATAATTCATGAGTGTCATTTTACCTCCAATACTGCTGCTTTCAACACAGTAGCTGCTTTTAACAGAGTAGCTGCTTTCAACACAGCAGCTGCTTTCTACACAGTAGCTGCTCTTTACACATCGGAAATATTTGTTTTCTGATGGTCTTAGGGGACCCCTGTGAAAGGGTCGTTCGACCCCTAAAGGGGTCGCGACCCACAGGTTGAGAACCACTGGTCTAAAGGATCTCAACCAGTCCCCAAGCAGGAGGCTTGGCAAGGGGTTGGGACAGCCTTTAGGCATAGCTGAGCTTGCTCAGCAGGAGGGAGAGTTTGGGCGGAGGATGTGAGAGCTGGAGTGTGGAGCCCGGGAGGAGGCCCAGGAAAGGGACCTTTCTGCAGGTGGATGTTGGACAGGAGGAAAGCTGAACCTCACCAGCCCCGAGAAAGGACCACCTGTGGATCTAAGGAAGGAGCCAGCCCAGCAGGAGGCCTGAAGGCAGCTACCAACCTGCAGCTTACAGAAGAGGGACAGTGAGTACTCCTACACTCCCTGGACTGGAGTAGGGGAGAGGGCATTTGGGTGGGAAACCTGACTAGCCCTAGCTGGACTGTACTTTTAAAGTTTCAGATCCTAGATCCCCTTGTCTAGGGATTTCTACACCAAGAGAGGCTGGAGAGCCTTCCAAAGAAGAGAACCCTTCTAAACACTTGTATATAATTTCAGGAAGTTGTCCTCAGTCAAACAGGTCCTTGGATGGAGAATAGGGGTACATGGGATGACCAAGTTTACACCCCCTAATCAAATCTAAAAAAAAAAAAAAAAGAGTTCAAGAACTGTTTACTGTCTCTGAAGTACAAGTCTGGAAGGAAATGGGTGTTGTCTGGCTGTGAGGACTCTAGGAGGACCCAAAACTTCAGCAACTCCTAAGGGGGTAGTGCTACACAAATGTGCACCGATCTATCTGGCTTTAGGAGTCCAGAGTTAGCTAGGACGAATGACAAGGAATGGGAGGAGGAGTTGGAAAAATGGCAGAAGGTGACCTACAAATGATACATAGCTGGTTCACAAAGCTCTCTCTGCCCTGTTAACAAAGAGAACTCAGTGGGCTACCACGGGCTTCACGCCACGGACGGCAATATAAAAAGCCGGCCACGGTGTACATAGCCGAGTGTTCATTTTTAATAGAATCAGAAGTGGAGATCCGTGTTGTAGATTCCAATCTCATGTAGTTGTTCTACTCACAGTAATTCCTCTATCCGGCTTGTGGTCAGAGCCGCCATCAGGTCCTTGAAATGAGGACCCTCCAGGTTGTTCCAGGACAGGTCCAGTCTCCTCTGGTTCTTGCAAATCCTCGATGCCAGGTGGGTGCAGGAACTGTCTGTCAGATTATTATTATAAAAACTATAGAAGAGAAAAAAAGAAAATATAATCTTTTGCATATTTACGCCCTTTTTTGTAACATTTTTATTACTTTTCTTAATAAATAAGTGCCGTATGTGTGCAGGATTGTCTTTAGAAGTTACCAAACTAAGTAAGCTACCGTATTTAACCACTTCCCGTCCGGATGTTCTATATAAAACGGCCGGACGGTGGCACTGCAGGGTCGGGTGGCCGTTTATAAACGGCCTCCCCGCACCCTGCTTGTGCGCGCTCCCTGGGAGCGCGCAGCACCGGGTTCCGGTGCCCGCTGTGAAACACCGATCGTCGGACGGGACCTCTGTGCCAGGTCCCGATCATGTGATCACTGATTGGTCAATCAGTGATCACATGCAAAGTAGTAAGCAAGATGTCACTTCTGACATCATTGCTTACTACGTGTGAAATCTGTGAATGATCACAGAGGTCACATGGTACAGGGCTATTCATAAAAGCCTTGTACCATGTGACAAGCTGTGACCAATCACAGCTCACTCAGTACTTCTCAATGAATGCAAGAATGCAGACAGAGAGAAAGAGAAATGATTGCTTTTACATCCTATATGGGTGTAAAAGCAATCAGTGTAAAAAAAAAAAAAAAAAAAATCTTCATCACCCCCCACAAGTAGTACAGTGTCACCATGGTGACCCTATACTGCTAGGGTGACCGTATGTAAAAAAAAAAAAAAAAAAAAATAATAATTTAAAAAAATAAA